GAAGGAAGGAAGGAAGGAAGGAAGGAAGGAAGGAAGGAAGGAAGGAAGGAAGGAAGGGAGAGTCAGATACTGCAGATGAACTCAGGTGCATGAGGTGAGCCTCAGGACAAGTAGCACTACAAGAAATGGGTGAGGGAAGGAAAAGGTTCAGGGGCAAGGTTAACACAGCATCACAGGGCCTGAAGAGTTCTGAGGATTAAAATACAGATAAGCAGCCTGACAAAAGTAACATTTAGAGAACTTGTGGACAAGTGACCCATGGTTTGTGACATTAAAAATGAGACAGTGCCTGCTTCATAGTCCAGGAAAGCCCCAACTTGACGGGGAGGGAAATCCATGAAAAGAGTCAAGACCCTGGGATCAGCGGTGGAAGAGTCCTCAAAGCCACTGTACTCGGATTCATTCTGCAGCCCTACATACAACCCAGTAGCCATTTTCAGGTTTGACTCTGGAGTAAACATTTAGATAATTTACATTTGGGTTGAAAACAAACCCAGAGCTTTATTTTCTATTGAGGTTACTTGTTTTACTGTGTACCTCAAGGGTCCAGGCTATCTTTCTGGATACATCAACTTCCCAATAGTATTTCCCCAAGGAGAAATTTTTGCTTCCCAAGACATCCAAAGCAGAAAAATTACACGAATATACATTCCTAAACATCAGATGGTCCCTAATTGTCTCTTGTCTCTGATCCGCAGAAATGGAAACATTCAAAAGAGTGTTGAGTGAATTCAATATCAAGTCCACTGTAGGAGAAATTACACAGTCAGGTGAATTAAATAGGACATGTGTGTCTTGGGACATTGTGAGGAGGAATATTGGGAATTGACTGGGAGGAAAATGAGTCCATGATGAGCAGATCACTTAAAAGCTGCTGTAGGTATGCATGTTTTAGAGGAAAACATGTAACTAAGATCATGGGACCTAATAGTAACCACACTTCTGAAAAAGGATCAGAACATGGCGAAGTGAAGATCCTGTGAGTTCTCAGCCCAGTAACATTAAACCTCTTTGAGATATGAAGTGACACAAGTTTTAATGACTTTGTTGGAAACAAATGAGGAAACACTAATACCTCCTTTTTCTCTTGAGTAAGGACAGGGGAGGATAGTCCTCTGAGGCTGTCAACAGGTGAATGAGGACACTTGGCCCTTCCCACTTAGATGCAATCAACCCAGGATATCCCTCGCTCATTGGTAGGACTACCTTTTTTATCCTCTCTAGAAACAACATCCACTTTCCCATTTTGCTCTGATACTGCAAGAGTTCTACACCCACACCGTTCCCCTGGCTCTCCTCACCATTAGTTACACTATCTTTTCAGATCAGGGACTCTTAAACTTCTCCTTTGTTTCTTAAAAGAAGTTTTTGGCATTGCTCCTTAGAAGGCACTGTGCCACTTTTGACACATCATCAGTTTACTTTAGCTTTCCTATAATACACTGAGCATTAAAAATGGACTTATGACCCACATTAAATATAAATACTATTGCTTTGGTTAAAGATGACCACTTGGCATTACAGCTGTTTAGGATAAATATAATTACCATTTATGCTTCCACTCTGAATTCGTTTTTGTCTTATAACATAAAAATGACGTGACCATTATTATTGTTTCCAATATTCTCAGGGTTAAGAGAAAACACTTAGTGTCTGTGATAATTAATTTTATGTATCAAATTGGCTAGACCACAGAACCTAGATATTTAGCCAAACACTTGTCTCAGTGTTGCTATAAAGGCATATTTTAGATGAGATTAATATTTAAACTAGTTCACTGAATAAAGCAGATTACCCTCCATAATGTAGGTGGGCCTCATTCATCCAATTGAATGCCTGAAGGATCTATCTACATGTACATCCTATTGATTTTGTTTCTCTGGAAACCCTATTACAGGGTCTAAGAATCAACCTGTACAGTCTTAGTGACAAAGCAACACTAAGGAAATTAATTGTCCCAAATCCTGCCCCAGGGAGAGAGATGAGTTACCTGAATTGGGAGCATACATTGCACAGCAGAGGGAAGTACAGGCTGTGGGTGCTGAGATGAAGAACAGACCTAAGCTTGGACAGTCTAAAGAGATTAGCAGTCAGGTTAACGACTGCACAGTGTCAATAAGCAAAATGAAAGATAATATTGATGAGTGCATGCCACATGTTTATTCTAATGAAGATCTCAGGACCCCAAATGAAGAAACTTATGATCACCATTGGGTAATGGCCCTAGGTATCCATACATTGTCCTTGGATGGTCCTACAGGCTGAAGTTTCTTAAGTCTTGAGACCACTCAGACTTTCCCATGGATACATATCTGCTCCACTGATGGTCCAGCACAATACTGGGGCCCCAGAAATACAAAGTAGCATGATTGCTACTCGGAGGTTCAGAGGTGATGTGGAGGAGAAAGCTCTAGAACTGATTTATAAGAGCAAATCTACATGTGGTACCCACCAGACTTTTTGAGTCCAGGAAATTTTCTCTGTCAGTTTACTAAGAATAGAGAGCATAACTGAAAGCAACTTAAAGTTTCATATTTTGGGAGGGGGCAGAGGGCTCCATTTCTGGGTCCAGAAGCTTCTGTTAAAACGTGCAGATATTTTCTATTGCATATAAAAGTTCAGGTCTTTCCTTGTAACAAGGTACTTTGTCCTGAATTGGGTATTCCAGTAAATGAAAAGACATGAATGTCCTTGGAGAGTCATTTGTCAATAATTCAAGAGTGCAAATTATTCTTAGTGAGTCAGAGCTTCAGTCATAATAGCAAAGGGGTGACAGGAGGGCAGAGGTAAAGGAAAGAAATATTTAGAGACTAATTTCCCCGGTTTCCAAGGGTGAGGAGGGCTAAGATATAAACGTGTGCATACACACAGAGATACTGGAAATTTCCACCTTGAAATTCTTTGTCTCATCAAACGTTATCCAAAATAAGGAAGTTGCACAAAATTACACATGGAGCTGCCTTAGGACCCAGGGATTCCTCTTCTGGGAATTGATATGAAGAAACCCAAAACACTAATTCAAAAAACATATGTAACCTTGTTCATTGCAGCGTTATTTACAATAGCCATGATCTGAAAACAGTCCAAGTGTCCAGCCATAGATGAGTGGATAAAAAAGCTGTGGTACATTTACACCAAGGAATACTACTCTGCTGTAAAAAGAAGAACATTTAACCCTTTGCGACAGCATGGATGGACCTGGAGGACATTATGCTAAGTGAAATAAGCCAGTCAGAAAAAGACAAGTACCATATGATTTCACCCATACGTGGGATTTAATGAACAAACTGACCTGCCAAGCAAAATAGAGACAAACTCATAGATAGAGAGAAAGCAGACAGCTCTGTGTGTGTGCAGAGGGTAGGGTGGAGGGATTGAGTAAAAAAGGGAAAAAAAAAAAGGGGAGAACTCATGGACATGGACTACAGTGTGGTGATTGTAGGGGTAGAGGGGGATGGGTGGAGGTAGTAGAAGGCAGAGAGGGGATAAAAGGAGATGGAAAAAATTAAATTATTTTCCTAATGAGGAAGTTGTAAATTCCTGGAGACAATCAAGAATGAGAGAAGATAATACTTGACCTAACAGCACTTTTTTTTCTGGCTCTGAGCTTGATTGGAGAAGCGTTGGAAATAAAAATGCAATAAGACATGGGGAACCCACCAAGTCCTGAATGAACATACTTTGCAGAAAATATGCCCCCTCATTGGAAGGAGAAGAATGGTCTTTTTGTTCTTGAGAACTTTCAATTCACTGCAAATGTAAGGATGATCTGTGCAACAAAACACTTACCTACACCATTGTTAAGAAATCCCACAATTGTACTTCTAACTTCTATTGCACCACTGTGAATAAGTTTTTAAAGTTAAGCAAATGGAACTAATATTTAAATTCAATTTCAATGAAATAGAATTATTGCAGAAAAATGAGGGGGGAAAGATTAGGCAGCTAGAAACATTTATTTTACAATTAGCTAAAATTTAAAGAATTTAAATTTTTTCATCATTATTTCTTAAAACAAAGCGAGGGTAATAATGTTGAAAGTAAGCTAATATATATTCTTAAATCATTTATTTTAGTCACAGTGAAAGGCAAACAAAAAGTGAATAGATAGCATACTTATAACTCGTTATGTGCTAGAAATGACAGAAGTTATTCAAAGCATTCTGTTGTTTACTTTCTACATTATACATCCGGTATATTTCATTGTTTTTTTACAAATGAGAAACTGAATCTCATAAAATTTGGATTACTTAATTAAGGCCAATGGGTAGCGAACCAGAATTATAATAAAATTATCACTGTCACACACACATACCTAGGCTTATCTATCACTGGCAGAGCTATACTACTCTAGACAGCAGCACAGAGGTATCTGGGATCTGAAACATGAAACTTCAGTAAAAATCACCCTAGTGCCCCGAAGGCACAAACCTGTTTCATGAGACACTGACACAGCTTATATTTTTTTAGTAATTAGAGAAAAAGTTTAATAAATTGAGATACTTACATTTTTTTATACTTAATGACATTATTTTTCTCCCAATGGTCCTAACTATAGTGTAGTTTTTATACCAGGGCTATTTTAAGTAAATAAAGCCAGTATTCAAGTATCTTATTCAAGGTTACACTGCATGTACTTGGAGAGACTGGACTTGAACTCAGACATTCTGGATACAAAGCTTCCACTTAGTACACATTATTTATATTTTCTCCTTAACTCCTAGATGAATAATGAACATCATGGATAAACTGACACACCCCTGAGGACTCATTCTGTAGTGAGTGACTCCTATACAAGGTCTTGAATAATATACAAAAGTTGTGCAAAAACTTTCCTCCTTCTTCTCAGTTGCAGAGGAAGTGAGATTGTAAAAATTGGTAGAGATGTCACCTCAATAGTGGTCTTTTATTTTTTATGAGGCATTAGTCATTTTCTTTGGGATTATAAAAAATGATGAATTAGGATTTTCTATTAACGCAAACAAGATATTGGGGAAAATAAGACATGAGGCAAATTGTACACCTCATTGATGAAGGAAGGCTGTTCAAATAAAAAAAAAAAAGAGCAAAGAAAAGATGGTGAGAATGGTGCATATAACCCCAGTTTGTTAGATGCACTCAAGGCAAGAGGCACTACATAGAAGTGGGTAAGTATGTAACAGATTTAAGGGCTTGGAGAACATAGTTTCAGGGGGCCAGTGCATTTCATAGGATTGAAATATGGAAAAATTTTTTGATAAAAGGAACATGAAGAGAATTTATAGATGAGAAGCCCATGGTTTGTGACATTTGAAAATGAGACAGTGCCAGCGTTGTAGTCTACGAAAACCCCAACACGACTGGGAGGAACTGTCAGAGTGAGGGTTACTGTCAATGGGTTTAAAAGAAAACCATCTTCAAAAGCATTATATTCAGATTGATTCACTAATGCTATAACCCAATAGCCACAATTAGGTTGACATTTAGAGTAAACATGTTGACAATTGTTACCTTTTCTGAAAGAACGCATCATCCTATTGGAGTGAAGGCATTTTTCAGCACATACCCCCAAGACCCAGGCACGTTTCTCTGACACATCTACCTCCCAGTAATGTTTCCCTGATGTGATAGCCGGTGAGCCAAGTACACCATAATCCTCATTTTCACATGTCTCATAAGTATAATTTGTATTCCGACCTAACACACATGTCACTTGTTTCCGGTCTGCAGAGATGTCAACATTTGATTTAGTCCTGTGAGGATCCAGAGTCACACGAACTGTAGAAAAATCAAAGGGTTGGGTGAGGGATACGATGTACCTTCCCTTGAGATGTTGTAGAGGGATCTTGAGGATAAAGTGAGTAGTAACTGGGAAAAACTTAGTGTTGTTCTTAGAAAGAGGTATAATGCTACAGAGATAAAATACAGTAAAACCTCGATAAAACGGACTAATTCGGGTGAGAGGGTGTCTGTTAAAGCTGAAGTCCATTATATAATAAAGCAGGTTTTCTGAATTTGTATGTTAAAAAATGACAAATTAGTTACTTTAGCTGTTTTTACTTATGTAGAGGCTTTTGTGTAATTAAAATTATGTACGAAAAGTCTAATTTCATAGAAAAGTTTTCTATATGTATTTCAGTAATTTTAAATTTATACTGAATAGCTCTAGTAAATGCGTGCATTCATCAGTCACCATGAGTAAACAAGTGCATGTCTGAACATCTGCTAGGCATTAAAACTGCTTCAGAAAGTCACACCTCTACACAACAGAACCAATCACCTGGAGATGCAGTGTGATCACATGCTATTCATTTGCCCACCATTGTTTACAAGTGGTGACTCTTGGATTTAAATATGTAGACTATAGTTGTAGATATGTGATATTTATGTTGGCAAAAGTACTACAGTGTTTTTGCCAACATATGACCTGTTCACTAAAATTTGTTAAGATAACAGTGAATTAAGAACAAAAAATAACCTGTCAACTTAATTATAAGAAAATCTTGATTAAAAGCATTTTAAAATTAAAGCATGTTAATTTTCACATATGACATATGGACAGGAAATTTTGTTCGTTAAATTCAAAATGAATAAGTTGAGGTCTGCAAAATCGAGGGTTTACTGTATGTATGCATGTGTGTGCCTAGACAGAAAATATGAGATCTGGTAGAAAATGTAAAATTCTGAAAAAAGATGAGGACAGGTTGACTTCGTGATACTGTGATTTCTCCTTACCCCAGTAGCGTCGCATATCTGTCAGCTCTGAAATGATAAAAACAAAACAAAAACACATAATATTAAATATAAACAAAGGAGTCAGCACTAAAATCTACTTCCCCTTCAGATGAGGAGAAAGGTTGGGGTCTATGTGAGGTGGTACATGGAAGAATGAGAGGTGAGCAAGAGCTGGCCACTCCCCATTAAATAGGCCCATATCATCAGCACAGACCCATCCTCCTTTGTCTCCTCTGTCCACACCCAGAAACTGAATCTTCCTCCCTCTTTAACCTCCAGCATCCCACAGCCACACGCTTGCTCTAGCATTCCTTACCATTAAGCCTTTGCAGCATTCCACTCAGGTCAGGAGCTTGGAACACACTTCTCTGTTCCTTGGAGAGAGCTTTTGGCTTCTTCAGAGTAAAGGTTTTACTCCTAGGGGTGACAAAAATTAACCCCAACACCTCTGACATTTTATCCCTCTAGAACCACTGATTCCTAGCCATTCACCCAGTTGAAGCACTTGATCCCCTTCCATGGAAAATCTGAGAAAGGAGTGAGTAGACTCCTGATTTGGGAACCAAAGAAATGTGCTCATGTCCAGCTTTCCTGTACACTCTGTATGAACTTAGGAAGACCTTGACCTCTCAGAAGCACAGTTTCACTTCCAAAATGATAACTAACCTATACCTCTCTATCTCCTGGGATCATATAAAATTATGTTAAATTAGTTTTTTAAAGAAAACTTTGGTTCCTTAAAAGAAGTTAATGTGAGGAAAAGTCACTGCAACTATGTGGAGGGATATTAGATGAAAGTGAGGTTGCAGAGTCTGGTGGTTTGAGATATATCAAGTGTGGGAACACTGTCTGGAGAGGACCAAGGCCTTTAATGTCTGCTCCCCACTAAGGAGGCAGTCAGAATAACATCTGAGATTTCAGGGTCTCTGGGAAAAATGGTAACACTTGGAAAAGAAGACATGAATACCACACTAATAGTGATCTGAATTTCATGTGTTTGAAGAGCTTGATGCAGCCAAGTAGGTGTGCAAATTTAGATACAAGGATGCTGCCCTTTCATTCTGGCTTCAAAAAGTACATGATCAAAAGAGATCAATTGTTTGCACCAGGGCCAAAATATTATTTATGATTCAAGACTATTTTAGGAAAATAGAGATCCATGTAGAAGAATCTGGTCTCTTTTATTCCCAGGGCAGAAATTTACACATAGAAAAGTCATCTCCAATTCTGGGTGCTTGGCAGATAAAGAAGACACAACCTGTCCACAATAAATCAAGCAGGAATTAAAGAGCAAGTTAGATATAGGCACACTGGATGAATAAAATTTATGAAGATACAGGGGTCTGATACTGCAACACATTATCCCCACTGCTACTGACCCAAACTCTGCAACTTCCCCCCACATAACTTTCCTACCATAAAATCTGGTTCAACCTCAATAATTATAGAACACTCAAACCATGATATGTGAACAGAAATTTAAGATAAAACTACATTCATATTTTCTTGCCCTGAGCAATATTTTATTCTAATTAATCATCAGATAACTTTAATGGCCTTAAAACTCTTTTCACAGGGCAAGAGAATCATCTCTGGTATCCCACACATACCTTTTTATGATGCTTTTCACATTCTAAGGAGAAAAGAGAAAACATGAGTCAAGAACTAATAAACCCTCCTAAGAGACCCCTGAACCAAAAAACCTGGTGGCCAGCTTCAGACCACACCAGAGCACCACAAATGACATACCAAAAGGGTGGACTCAACAGGCACTAGAGTCCTGCTAAAGTGAATCCTGCTCCATTAAGTCAGCCCTCATACAACAGCTTGTTCACTATAGTAAATGTCATTCTTCATAGCCACTTAGACTGAGGGTCAATCCCACCCACCGACATGCCAGCAGTGATCAAGTCTCAACTACAACAGGAGAGACACACAACCTACACAAGGGATATCCCTGGAGGACCAGGTTCAGGTGAACAGGGATCCTACACAAGATACTTACTATATAAGGCCACTCTGCCAAGAATGGGAAACATGGCAAATATATACAATACATAGAAATAAACATAGGGAGGCAGCCAACATGTGGAGACAAAGACACATGTCCCAAATGAAAGATTGGCAAAAAACTTCAGGAAAATGACTAATAAAATGTAAGCAAGCAATCTAGAGATGAAGAATTCTAAACAATGGTTATAAGGATGCTCAATGAATTTAGGGTAAAAATAGATCATCTCAGTGAGAATTTTAACAAAGAAATAAGAAACATACAAAAGGAGAGAGACAGAATAAAAAAGACCCAGTGAGAAATGAAGAATACAAAAAGAGAATCTTAAGCATGAGAAAAGCAGTTAGTTAGCTGGAAGGGGGCTGCCGTAAGACTATCAGCTGATTTCTCAATGGAAATTTTGCAGGCCAGAAGGGATTGGCATGACATATTCAAAGTGATGAAAACCAAGGACCTACAACCTAGATTACTATGCACAGCAAGGCTGTCATTTAGAATTGAAGGAAATATAAACAGCTTCCCAGATAAGAAAAAGCTGAAGGAGCTCTAGCTGGTTTGGCTCAGAGGTTAGAGCATTGCTGGCAGACTGAAGGGTCCTGGGTTCAATTCCGGCCAAGGGCACCTATCTTGGTTACAGGCATGATCCTTGGCCCCGGTCAGGGTGCATGTGGGAGGCAACCAGTCAATGTGTCTCTCTCACAATACACAATGTTTCTCTCTCTCTCCCTCTTCAACTCTCTCTGAAAAGCAATGGAAAAAATATCCTCAGGTGAGGATTAAGAAAAAAAAAGACAGAAAAAAACTGAAGGAGTTGATCACCACCAAACCGATATTACAAAAAATGTTAAAGGGATTTAAGAAGAAGACGAAGAAATTATAAATATAAATAAAAACATCATAAAGAATGTAGACGATATGACCAATTTTATCAACCAGCTCGACTTAACTGGCACCTACAGACCCTTTCACTCAATGAGTGCACAGTACAATTTTTTTTTCAAATTCATATAAAAAATTTTGGACATACAATATTTTAGGGGATAAAGTGAATGTCAATACATTTAAGAGATGAGAATTATAAACTGTGTTTTGTGATTAGAAAGAAAGTAAATTTAAAATACATGAGAAGAAGAAAAAGTAAAAAAATCACCAAGTATTTGTAAATTAAACAACATGGTTTCAAATATCCCAAGCACTCACAAAAAATTCACAAAGGAAATTTGAAAATAAATTGAATTGAATGAAAATAACAAGTAAATAATCCCAAAGTATGTAATATAGCTAAAGCAATACATTGATATTATTAAAACTATAAGAAACTAGTAAAAAAACAGCAAATTAAACACAATACACACACACACACACATACACACAAAGGAAACTACATAAGTCAAAGCAAAAATGAGTGATATAGAAAGGTTAAAAATTGAAAAAAAATAATAGAATGATAAAGTTTATTCTTGAAAAAATCAATAAAATTCACCAAACATAACTAAATTGACCAAAAAATAAATAATAGAAAATCATAAAATCAAGAATAAAAGACGGAACATTACTGTGAGTACTGTAGGAATGAAAGAGATTCTAAAAGATTATAATGACTAACTTCATGCTTACAAATGTGACAACTTAGAATAGACACATTTCTACAAAGATGTACGTTATCAAAAACTTACTCAAGAAATGTTTTTTAAAAAACTAAGAAAACTTAATAAAAGTAAAAATATATATATTTTAAACCTTTCCAAAAAAAGAGGTCCCAAGTGAGATGGTTTCACTGGGAAATACAGTGAATAATAAAATAATAAATAATACCAATCCTTCATAATTGTTTATTCAAAAAAAAATAAAAAACAGGGACAGGAGAAAAATCTCAACTCATTTCATTAGAAAAAAACAAACAAAAAACTCTTGAATCATGAACAAGTATCTGAAAAAGGTTCTAGGCTAGATCACAGGGGCCTACAGAATTTAATTAAACACAATGGATTTTCTCGCCACAGTCAAATTTTTGCACTGCAAGTGATACATCAATAAAAATGAGATTCTCCTTTGTTATTCATGCATATAATTATTCTTATAACCTCTGAAAGAGATGCAAAAAAATGTTACTGCATGACCAAAGGAACCTCAGTGTTCATCAACACAAACAGCACAGCCACACAGCAGAGGAGGAAACTTAGTCTTCGTTTTCCTCAAGTTCAGATGCTGAGCCTTATCCCCAGGTCTTACCTGCAACATCCCTACAGTGGGCCCCTGCAAGCGACGCTCCAGGTCCAAGATGAGATCTGTCAACAACTGGTTCTGCTGGACCAGCTCCCTCTCAGTCTGAGCCAGGTCATTGAAAATATCTCCCTTCCCTTCCTTCAGCTTTTGCAGCTCCTTCTGCTCCTCACTATCCAAGATACTTCTCAGTTGTTTAAAATAATCCTGGGCACGTTTGCTCTCTCTTTGTATTTGATTCTTCAGGAAAGAGAAAGAGACAGAGAGAGTCAGGCTATCGGGTAGAGACTTGGAGCCAGAAAAAGAAGTATTTGATTTGGAAGTTCTCACAGGGAAGCAGGGAAACAATTCTTGTGGAGGCTGATTTTTCTATTATTTTCTCTTCATCACATTCCAAAACAATGGCCTCCAGTCTGCATCATTGAGGCCAATCTTGAACCAAAACTGGACACCTGAGTGTGGCTCAGCTTTCACACAGCTGCCCAGGACAGTCATGCCTCCCTGCATTACTCCTGACCCCACCTCCACCTTCTGCCTAATGTTGAACATGAGGGACAGAGCCATGAGCCATTGGCTTCACCTGGAAGAGTTAAAGGCTCAAAATAATAACAGAAGTGAACACAGGATTCACTACTCATCCTCACCAGAGACTCTCTCTATGAGAATAACTAACTTACAAATATCCGTATTAATTTGTGACGTTTCCTTTCAGCCCCACCACTATCAGGAAAAGAATAAAGAATGGTTAATCAATGACTCTGGACTTACCAACTTTCAGGGAACAAATAGGAAGGGACCTCCTTGTGACTGTCCTGCCCCAATTTTTGTCTGACTCCCTCAAAAAGAGTCTCCTCCTACCTCCCAGGAAGTTCTCTCTTTTCTGATGTCAGATTCCCACTTCTCAGCTTTCAGCTGGTTTGCCTTCAGACTATCCAGAGCTTCCAGGATCTTTTTCTGCAAGAGAGGAATCACACCAGAGTCAAGCTAAGGGCTTTCTCAGCCTCTGAATAGAGGACAAATGGGAAACAACTCAGGTATATCTCTAAAGTGACCAGTGTTTACAGAAACTGTAAAATAACAATTAGTATTTGTGACTTGAAAAAAACTAGGTGTCACAGAATCTGTTTTGTTCATCAGTTTATGTTCTTTAGATTCCACATATAAGTGAGATCATGTGATGTTTGTCTTTCTCTGCCTGGCTTATTTCACTTAGCATAATTTTCTCCAGGCCCATCCATACTGTCCCAAAGGGTGCGAGATCCTTCTTCTTTACCGCTGCGTAGTACTCCATGGTGTAAATGTCCCACAGCTTTTTTATCCACTCAGCTACTGATGGGCACGTGGGCTGTTTCCAGATCTTAGCTATTGTAAATTACAGTGCTATGAACACAGGGTGCATATATTCTTTCTGATTAGTGTTTCAAGGTTCTTAGGATATATTCCTAGAAGTGGGATCACTGGGTCAAACTGTAGTTCCATTTTTAATTTTTTGAGGAAACTCCATACTTTTTCCACAGTGGCTGCACCAGTCTGCATTCCCACCAGCAGCGGACCAGGGTTCCCCTTTCTCCACNAGAGATTAACCAAAGAATTTATATGCATATATATATCTAACCCAAGGACACAGACAATAGTGTGGTAAAGTCCTGGAGAGGGGAGTCGGTGAGGGGAGGAAGGGTCAATGGGGAAAAAAAGGGACATCTGTAATATTTTTAACAATAAAGATAAATTTCAAAAAAAGAAGAAAATAAAAGAAAACTAGATGTCATGAATGTGTTCTTTAAGTCTCAGGTGATAGAAGTCACCATTCCCCTGTAAAGAGAAGACTGATTCTCTTTGTCCTAGAAAAAGAAACTTGATCCTGTAATAATGAAAGAACTTATATCTTGATCCACCAGCTGCCCAGTTACCCCTCCTGTCCAAAGGGACAATGACAGCTTTGCTTGGGCACCAAACCTCCACCTATTAATTCAAGTTATAAAAATATCTACTTCTGGTTTAGAGTCTGCTCATCATTTAGTAATTATGTGGAATGCACAGAAATATCCTGCAGGCCTTGGAAGGTGAGCATAGGAAGAAATGTTATCATAGGCCTCAGGCCTCTGGTGGAAAAGTAATTAGGGTCACATGCAAAGTAAAAATTTCCCATCAAGTACTATTTTCTGCCCTGTCTTTCCTCCATCCTGGTCTCTTACCTTGTACTCCTGGGCAGCATCCTCTATGAGGAATGTGTGGTGACCACGGTGCTCTTGAGACCGCTCGCAAAGCCAGCAAATGATCTCCCCATCCTTCTTACAGAAGAGCAGGAGTTTCTCCCCATGGCGCGCACAGAGATCTCTCTTTTGCTCCTCCTCTGGGCTCAACTTGACCTCCTTAAGCATCTCCACTATGGTAACCAAATGCCGATTAGGCCGCAGTTTCTCAGGCTGGTAAATGATCCGACACACAGGGCAGCTGCTCTCGCCTTCTTGGCGGATCCTGGACTGCCTGCTGTTTGCAGTGATGCAGGCTTGGCAGAAGCTGTGCCCACAGTCCAGGCTCATGGGCTCTGTCAAGAACTCTAGGCATATGGAGCAGGTCAGCTCCTTCTGTATGTCCACCAGGATTCCCGAAGCCATTGCAGCTGTTCCCCGGCTCCTGTCTGTCCTGATGTCCAAGATTTCTCTTGCTCAGGGATCCCAACCTGATGAGAAAGATTAAAAAGAGGCAGAGTAAGAAAAGCAGAAATACATGATACTGATTGTGTGGAAATCAAAGCTGATAGAGACCATTATTGAAGGAAAAAAAATAGAAATAAAGGAAGAAGTTTGGAAACCTGGTATAAAGGTTTTTCATAATAATTTCAAACACTTCTGGTTGATCTCAAATGACAAATTCCAACCTTATATGTGAAATTGTTATTTTTCTTCACTTCTACTGAACAAAATGATGATCTGATGCCTTTTCTATGAAGATCTTTGTGTGACCCACAATCTCTCCAGCTTCTTTTCTATTGCAAACACACCCTCAACGTTCAAAGCATCAATCTTGCTATCCACCTGGGCTTTTATACCTGCTCTTCTCTCAGCACGCAGTGCTTCCCCTGGTATCAGTAGGACTCACTCTCATCCTGACATGTTCCTTTATCAGAAAGACCTGCTTTGATTTATTTGCTTACAGTGTAACCATCACAACACATCTGACAATGTGTTTGTGTACATGTCAAGAGAAAGCTCTTTACTGGATATGTACATAGAAATAGTAAATGGATTACAAAAATCATTTACCTTTAATACAAAGAGTTGAAAGAAAACTAATATATTTGTTGTCCCTTCTCAGAGGTCTGTCCCTACCCCACTGAGTTAATCAATGACAAACTGAGGTAACATAATTAACCCAATTAATACACAAAGTAATGGGGAAAAGGGTGGTAGTGAAGAGATCCAGACCAGCTAGGAGGTCTTTGGGAGACTTGTGCTTGTAAAGAAAAAAATTTCAGCCCTGGCTGGTGTGGCTCAGTTGGTTGGGTATCTTCCCTTGCACCTAAGGGTTGCTGTATTGATTCCTCATGGAAGGGGGGGGCAGGGGCAGGAGGGAGCTGATCATTGTTCTGCTCTCACATAGATGTTTCTCTCTCTCCCTCTCCTTCTCTCTCTAAAAATCCATTTTTAAAATATTTTAAATTAAAAAAAAAAAAATTAGCTTGGCCTGGAAGTATGCCAAGGGCATGATAGGAGACAAAAAAAAAAAAAAAAAAAAA